GAAAGGAGAGAAAAAAGAGAAGAAAGAAGCGAAAGAGGGTGAGGGGAGAGAATAAAGGGAGATAGAAAGAGAAAGGAATAAAAAAGGAGAGCAGAGGTTGGAGTGAAAAAAAAAAGAAAGAAGAGAGACAGTTGTGGGCTGAACACAGAAAAGGAAAAGGAAGGATATTGAGGGTGGGGGAAATGATGGTGAATAAAAAAAAAAAAAAAAAATATGCCTTCGTCCGCGTATAAGATAGCGACATATGTGACGAGGTAGGGGTGGGAAAGAAGTGAGTAATTGAGTTGATGGAGGGGCTGAAGTGGAAAAAAGGCGAGCAAGAAATAAGACTTCCAAGAGTCGGATTTTCCCCAGACCAGCTCCCCCCCCTGCCCCAGAACCAGGAGCTCCCCCCTGCTCCCATTGACGCCAGCATTGACAAGTGGTTCTTCATTAGCGGTGCTTCTGCTTGAATTGCTGAGGCGAGGCTTTAACAACAACACCCTGACAAGGCTTTTGGAGAAAGGTATATAGATAGGGGTTTAAAAGCTAGATATAGCCGGGTCGAACAAAATCAAAGCAGCGAATCAAGTCTTTTTGAATGATGATGGATGAGTGTGCAGTGGTGTGTTTTGTTTGTTGTAAAGATATTTGAACGCCTTCCCAATGCTGTAAAGACAAGAATGGTATATGTGGTAGATACAGTTTTTGTACAGATTCCCTCTTCTTTTCCTGCCCGTTTTTTGTTTTTGTGTTTTTTTGATACTGTAGAATGCTTTAAGCAGCAGCCAAATCGTCGGCCTTTTGGAGGATACGGGAGTGGCGGTCGACCTCTTCGATTATGCTCTTGATGCCCATGTTGTCGGCGTCGATGTTGAGTTCCTTGCCGTCCTCTAGAATATCACGAAATCAATATCTTTGTCTGGGTAGAGGGAAATGGAGGGGCTTCTGGGTGGTGGTGAGGGGAAACATACTAAACTTGACATAAAGCTTGCTCGGGGCGGTGGAGGACCGGGGGAGGAGCTGGGTGGTGATGTTCATGCCCGAGGAGCGGGCGTTTGGTGGGAGGAAGGAGAGGAAGAGGCGGGCGGATTTGGCGCGGGGGGAGAAGGGGTTGAAGGCGGTTTGGATTTCGGTTATGAAGCGGGTTATCATTTTGGTGGTTGGGGTACTGGGTTCTTTGAGGGGGGCAAGTAATTGGGTCGGAAAAGCGGCGGCGGGGGGGGTGGGGGGGATTGTTGGTGGTTAGGTGGGCAAAAATGTCGTGATAGTATCGGCTTGGTGTTGAGTCTCTGTCTACACTTTCGCTGTGGCGGGATGGGTTGCGGTTGGAAGATTCAAAACGGCGCTGGAAATGTGGGGCCATGTGGGAAACGGAGCTTGGGTGGCTTGAGTGGGAGTGCCAAGAAATTGGCCGTTTGGGGAGCTATGGGTGGTGGTGGTCTGGATTGAGTGACGTTGCACGATTGGATTGACTTGCACATGTTGTTGCCCCAAAGAGAGCTTGACAAGTTGACGGTCCGGCACACGACAGGACACGGTATATATAGACCAGATTTGCCTTTTTGTTCTCGAGAACACCACCTCCTACGAAAACTACACCAAATCAAACTGGGAACAATACCACCAGAATGGCAACAATCGACACCCTCTCCGAGCGGCTGTCCGCGCTGCAGGAAACGACCGCCCAGCTCCAGGAGCTGATCCACAGACTTGCCAATCTGAAGTTTGCGCCGGGGAGTGTGCCGCTTACAGCCGAGGGGGAGGAGGAAAGCGACAATGTAGCGACGGAGCTGAGCGCAGAGATTAGCTCAATCTTGAGGGAGGAGGAGGAAGAGCTGGAGTTGTTGCAGGAGGAGATCATTGACCTTCGAGGTGGGAGGCCGGGGAGCGAGAGCGAGCATAGGAAGCAGAGGTTGAAAGAGGGCGCGCAGAGGCTAGAGAATGAACTCAAGACGTATGTTTTTCTCTGTCAACACCCATCTACAACGAAACAACTTGGCTGACATTGTGATGATAAATAACCAGCGCTCGAACAACCTTCCGCAAAGCTCAACTCTCAGCCCACCACTCCCTCCTCGCCGCCCAAAAACTCGAGCGCCAGCTCCTTGTTGCGTCTTATGCTGCTTCGGCTTCGTTGGCCAACTCAACTCACTCCCTCACCTCCTCCTCCTCCTCCTCTTCCGACCTAGCCAACCAGCAACAACAGTCCTCCTCCTCCTTAGAAGGAAACAAAGACCCCCGAACCCAACTCTTCACCCCCAAAGACCTCCTCCGCCACCGCAAGCCAAAACCCACCAACCCCAACGACGAATCCTCGTCCGTAGTCAACGCCTCAAGCGACCTCACCCTCTCCCTCCGCCGCACCCACGCCCTCATCGCCGCCGAGGTCCAAAAATCAGCTTTTGCCTCCCAAACCCTAGCCGAGTCCTCAGCCGCGCTGGCCGAACTGCAAAAAAACTACGAGGGGATCGACTCCCTGCTCTCCAAATCAAAAAACTTGGTTTCCACCTTGCTGACCACGCAAAAGAGTGATACCTGGTATTTACAGACTTCTCTGAGATTGCTACTGGTCACGTTGGGCTGGTTGGTGTTTAGGAGGTGGTTGTATGGACCGTTGTGGTGGGTTGTTTGGTTGCCGCTGAAGCTCAGTTACAAGACTACGAGGGGGGTGGTGAATTTGGCTGGTGGTGGTGGTGGGGGAGGGCAGGCGGAGATGGAGGTTGTGTTGCCCGGGGGGACGACCACGAGGGTGGTGATGGGGGGAGAGGAGAGTGTGCCTACTATTGAGGTTGCTGGGCCGGGGGTGGGGGAGAAGCAGAGGGTGGAAGGGGGAGAGGAGAGTTATGTGGAGAGCTATGTGGAGAGGGTTGGGAGGATGGTGGAGGATACGCTTGATCAGCGGGAGAGGGAGGAGGGGAATAAGACGGGAGAGGGTGCGGTGGAGGAGGAGGAGGAAAGAGAGCAGAAGAATCCAATGAAGAGGATGTGGGAGGAAGATGTTGATGGGGAGGGCGAGAAGCAACAACAGGTGGAGCTGGTGAGGGATGAGCTGTGAGTTTGCATAGCATTCTTAAGAGATAGTAATGTTGAGGTGGGGGTTTAATCAGTGTCATATTACTGCAATACCTGCCGCCACCGTGTTCATGATGTGTAAAGACAGAAAGGCAGTGGCGAAACACAGATCTAGTAAAGAAAGAGGGTTAGAGTTGGTGATCATTTGAAAAGAGTCAATGACTACATCAAAAAAGCAGAGACAAAGTCCATATTTCTACCTCAAACCTCCCAAAAAAAAACATAACAATAACCCCTATTTCACATACCATACAAACAACCTCCCAAAAAATTTTTTTTGCCTAACCCTATCCACTTATCACCCCCCTTTGAATTTCCCCCGTTCGGTTGCCCGTCATCATAGTCGTCGTCGTCAAGTTGTTTATAACGTATGTGTGTGTGTGTGTGTATGTTTGTTGTACAAAAAATTTCGTACAACCCAACCGTGACCGTTCCCAAAAGACAATAATCCAAAACCACAACTCCAGAAAACGCCAACCGCCGTAAACCCCAATCCCAAAATCCCAAAACCATTTGTGCCCAAGTAGGTAGTTGTGTAACTAACTAACCCCCCCATAACCATCTTTATTCTAGTTATTCATGTGTATCCCTTTTTTCCCCCTTCATGTTCATCCCACCATCCAAGAAACCCAGAAACCTATCCCAAAAGCAAAAAAAAAAAAAAAAAAAAAAAAAAAAAAAAAAAAAAGAAAGTGTCATCATAATATAACCCAAACCCAAGCCCATTCATTCTCCAATCCAGTCCCAATGCCCGTTTTTGTGCACCAATACTTTTACAAAACAAACCCCCTATACCTTCCATAATAACCAGCGTTAGCCCATGAACCCGAGATCCCATCATTGACCACCCCTAAAAAACTTCCCCAGAGCCACCGCCCCAGCAAACAACATCATCATCTTTGGAATAGCCGCCGCATCCGGCCCGTCCTTCACCCCTCCTTTCTCTCCTGCCTTGTCCTCCCCTTCGGCATGCTGACTAAAAATCTTCGCCGACTTGACCTTCCTATGCCGATCCTTCTTCCTCAGTTTCCCCGACTTCGTACTCCCCGCAATACTCCCCGTCTCAGCCTCCTCCGCCCCAAGATGATGAGGCAAAGGATGATCAAAAAAACAATGCTGATTCAGCGGTAAACTCAATCTCTTAGACTGGTCTCCCAAAGCTCCACGAAGGCCGAGCTCAATAAACCTCGATTCTGTGCGCAGAGTGTTCAACCCGAGATACCCAGCTGTCTGCGGACGGGAAGTGGGGTGAGTGTGCTCGTGATCGTGGGGGGAGTCCAAGTGTGCGACTCGAACTTCGTCGCCGAACGGGGTGGAGGATTCGTCAAAAGAGGGGCGGAAAGTGTCGACTGAGCCGCGGGAGATGAAGGAGGAGGTGTCGGAGAGGGTGGTATACCCCGAGGAGAAGGTAGATGTGGAATGGCGGGGGTTGGGGTTGAGGAGGGAGATGTCTGGAGTGGCTACTGGGTGAGAGGGGGATTCTGTTTCGGTGGTGGTAGTGGTGGTGTCGAATTCTTTGACGGAGATTACGGGTGGTGTTACCACGGGAGGATGCTGCTCCTCAGCGCCGGAACGCTCCGGCTCAGGCTCATCTTTACGGCCGAGGTCGGTGGCGGACCTAGTAATATCTTGGGGGGCTGTCGCTGTTTCTGTTCTTGTTTCGGCCTTCTTCACTTCTTCCGACGACAATCCTTCGGGGCTGACTTGGACTTCGAATTCCTCGGCGAGTTCTTTGGCCACTTCGGGTACGATGGGCTCTTTGACAGGTTCGGCTTCGATTGTGTTGTCGGTTACGGGAGGAGAGACATCCTTGACGTTGTCGTTTGCCTGGACTTCGAGCTCGGCAGCGAGTTGCTCCTCAGCTGCAGCTTCAACATCCTGGCTGTCAGTCGGCACTGTGCTCGACTTTTCGGTTTCAACGTCGCCAGCTGCTGCGGGAAGAGACGCCGGCTCGGCAGCGAGAACATCACCGACGACAGCGGTCTCAGACACGGAAAGTCTGACTCTCTTTTCAGGGATGGGAATATCGGAGTCTTTGGTCCTCTTCTCAGGCACGACATGATGGATCGCCACCTCGACATCTGCGAACAACCGGGTTGGTCCCGGTTTCTCGATATCAGCACCGGTTGGCAAGTCTGCCGGCTCCGATGACTTGACCGCGGTCTTTTCTGGGATATCAGAGACCTTGCCCGGACAAGGAGCCGGCTCCGAGGACGCACCAATCTTCTCGGGAGCAGCCCCGTTCGTCGCAACCGAGTCATCATGCTTCACTCCAGAACCGCGGTCCCGAGCAAGATACTCATCAACCGTAGCCTCAGAATGCTCAAAGTCAATCTCGGACCCCTTGCGAACCTTCTCAGGCTCCTGCCTGGAACCGCGACGCTCATCAAGATGCTCCTTCACACCAGCATCCGGAAACTCAAACTCAATATTGCTCCCGAGCCGCTTGCTCCTCATCTCGGCCTGGGCCTGGGTCCCATATCGCTCCCGAAGCTCATCCCGCACATCACCCTCGGGAAACTCAAACTCAATATTGCTCCCATCGGCGTGCTTGTCGGAACCGACATCATCAGGAATGCTCGAGTTCTGAGACTCAGCGGGCCCGTTCTCCTCAGCCGCCTGCCCAGTCCCCTTTTCCTCGGAGCCGGTGACAGCACTCGGAGCCCTTGTGCTACCCGTGTCTGGAGAAACTTTGTGCACGGCTCCCGGATTGGCACCGTCCGCTTGGGCCCGGTGGCCGTCGGGACCAGCTTCGGTCACGTTGGACTTGTCTTTGTGTGCCACGGGCTGCCCCTCGGCGCCGCGAGCGGGACCGACTTGGTTGCCGGTAGCCTGATCGACATTTTGACTCGAGGTTTTCCTGGCATCTAAATTTTCAGAAGCTTTGGGAGAATCATGATTCGGGGTCGGAGCCGGGTCCCGGAGTCGCTTGGTGGGGAAGTCCGGACGGCGCGGTATGGAACCTTCGGAGCCTGCAGTTTTCTCGGCACCGAGGTTTTCATAGCCAAAATCTTTTTCTGCAGTTGATGAGCTGTTTGTCGAATTGGCATTGCTGTTGTTACTGGGGGCTTTTGTTGTAA